TGACAAACATTTTACGAACGCTGCAATGTCATTATTATTATTATTATTATTATTATTATTATTATTATTATTATTATTATTATTATTATTATGTTATTACTATTTTTATTATTATTATTATTACTATTATTATTATTATTATTATTATTATTATTGTTATTATAATTATTATTATTATTATTTTGGTTATTTCGTGCTTACTTTATTTGCGCCTTATAAATTGACCTATTATTATTATTATTATTAAATTATTATAAAATATAGATTTTTTTTTCATTTTCTAACGAACACTAAAAGTTCATTTTTGAATTGAGCAACCAAATGTACCGATTGACGTCTGTATAAGTGCGTCTGTAAAGTTTCCTTGAAACCCACCCTTGAGCATGCTGAAAAAATCGCCTGCATTCGTGAATTCTGTATTTCGGCATATGGGGGGAGGTAGGCACTCTTAATAAAGAATTAATTTAACGAAATCAATAAGATACTTATTAGGCAACTTTTTGAAATAAAGTTGTCTGAAGGTTAAGTACCAATACAGAATTTACAGTACGGTACACTGTAGTTAATGTGTTATAGGTTGTAAAAACTGTATTGAGTAAAAAGAAAATATTTCGAATAAAACAATCTTTTGCTTGACATTAGGAATCAATCATTCTGTGAAACAAAATGGTAGGCTATGTCAAGTGTTATATTGAACAGTGGCAGATTCAATAGGAAACCCAATCAGCACTGTACCCCATCCCATTTTTTTTTCAAAATTATCAAAAAAAAATGGAGAAAACAGACAAAATTGTATTCAACTTTTAATCTGAGAGTGCCATTTCCGGCCATCTAGATGTGCCATAATCATAATTTTCCAACAGTTGTGGGGCTGAGGCGGGTGGACATTTTATTTACGCAAGACTCTATTTCGACTTCCTGGACCCGCCACAGTTAGAGTATCATTTCTGAGCTACATACAAGGGTAATTTTTATCCATCGAGGGAAAAGTGAAGTTTCCATCGGGGAACCCATATCAAGGATAACCCTCATAATAAATAATTTATTGAGGTCGTGGAAGCAATGTCGACTTCGACTTTGTTCGGAAATCTGTGGCGCATTCAAGGGGAGGGGGAGGCTAAATTATATTCAAATTTTAAGTCTAAGAGTATAATTTCCGGTCATCTAGAGGTGCCATAGTCACAAATGTTCTTACCTCAGCCCAAACCATGGCGGGGCTGAGGTGGTATAGATTCTCCATCTGCCGAAGTACCCTGTGGCGGATTCAAGGGGATCCAGCCGGCCCGCCCCCACCCTCCTAAATTGTTCAATAAAAAATGGAGATATAAAGATAATTATATTCAAATTTTATGTCTGGAAGTGCAATTTCCGGCCATCTAGAGGTGCCATAATCACACATTTTCTTATCTCAGCTCTAACCATGGTAGGGCTGAGGTAGTATAGATCTTCTATCTATGAAATTACCCTCCCTGGGCCCTTCTATTTCGAATTCCTAGATCAGCCATTGGAAATACAACACATATGAAATCATATTACAGTAGCTTGAGGCCTATAAAATAGTTATAAAATTCACCAAACTTCGTAAAATATCTGTAGCTTCCAGGGACTTTCGACTCCTAGACCCCCACCGAGGGCCCTTGGCGGCCCCCTGGCCCCCAGCCTAGATGCTCGCTTCGTTCGCATACTCGGCCTTATGAAATTCCCCCTCCCCTCACTTTCAAAAACGTTCCGCCGCCGTTTGTTTTTCCGTTCTGTTATACAATAATGATACTCTTTTACTACACTTCCCTCATTCCTTGTTTGTATACTTTAATCGGCGCCGTTATCTTTGCGGTGCACAGTAGTGCAGCCACATAAGGCATATCCTGAGGTGGAACATACTGCCTAACAGGGTGCCTGTGTGTACCCAGTAACAAAGACGCTGTTTCTACATTGGTGGTGGTTAAACTCATCCTGGACGCCTAATTGTGTGCTCTATATCATGCATATATTTATATATTTTATACTTACCCATCAAGGATAAATGGAATCACCCATACATGCCCTGCGTGTATTATCGAGTATACTGTACAGGCAAGTTTAAGTCACATGTATATGTATTTGTGTATATTTTATAGTTCATTTGTTGATATATCGCCTTTCTGTAAGGTTTGTGATTTCTTCCTGAAAAAAAAAACGACTGCCATCATCCACTCAGGGATCTAAAAGGGATAGGACCGTTAATGCCTTGGCAAAAAAAATAAAAGAAACCAGTGATGCCAACTGGAGCAGAATGTCATCAATGTTGGAAAGAATGCGAAAGGAAGACCAAAAAGAAAGAGAAGAAATGACAACTCTGATGAATACACTAACATCAGTACTGGAAAGGGGGAATATAGACCGTCAGGAGGAAAGGCAAGCAATGAGGGAGGAAAGGCTAGAGGAACGGCGTGCAAAAGATGCAAACATGGCCAGTCTCTTTTCATTCATGCAAGCACAACAATTTAATCCAGCAACATATTGTTACAACAATCATCAGTTTAATTGATCAACATGAAAATCTAAACCGTAAAACTTCTAATAATAAACCATTACTCTAAAATATTAACCCACCATATAAGTTAATCTACAATAATAATCCACTTCTGTAATTACTAGTTAAAGGGCACATAGAAACAAATTATTAGATCCATTGGCATTACAGTATTTTTTTTTAATCGATGAGGGAGGATTTTTTTTTTTATTAGCAGTTTTACGGTAACTAAACTATATAATTGTAATACATTGTTAAAAAGGTTGTTTTATATATAAAAAGTAATTAAATGTAGTACAGTTTGTACAGCATGTTTTTGTAAATAATTGATGATTAATACCTAGTATTCCTAGTAGTAGTAGGCCATTGTCTATCCAACCTTTAATATTTAATTGATGCAAAACTAGTCGTTTTCAATGCATGAGTTGAGATAGATAATCCTACCAGTGTCGTAATTAATTTACCAAAACCTTTCATAAATATTTAACTTGAAATTCCAACAGTAGTAATATGTAGTAAATTCTTAATTATTCTAGTAATGTAGTAGACTAAGTAGTAAAGCTAAAGTAGTCCACTCATTCTGTCTCCCTCGTGTAAAATGAAGTTCAGTACATACAGTAAACGATGTATTTGGTCACGTGCCAGTCGCGCGCTTAATAAGTTATAACATTTTTAGTTTTAACTGCTTATGTTTTGTAAACAGCTAGATCGATTCAATAATAGTGATCAATTGTAATGTATGAATAATTTAAATCTCTATAGTTTAACAAAATTAACGTAATTGTTTGGAGAATATTTATGTGTTAAATAAAAATACAGTACACAAACAAATCAAATTGACTCTTGTTCAGTTATGTTGATTTCAAAAGTAATCAGTTTTAATATTTAAAACCTCATCAAATAATGGAAGATACTAAAGTTATACAGCCAACTGCTGATTGTTAAAACGTTTTCAACGGTTGCCAGAAAAAAGATAGGAACGGAACGAGTTACACAGTACAACAACGAAGCGGCTTTCGGGCATCATTAATTTCATCACTTTCTTTATATAATTACTGAATTGGAAATAATTGATTAAGGTACTGATATTTACAACTTCAATTTTTTTCTTTTAGTTTGTCATCAATATTGAGAAAGGAAAACTTTATTAACTTGCCATTCGTTTTGGATTGCAACTCAACTAATATCAACTATTTTATTACTAATACTAAGATACTAATACTAGGCTAGGCCTATTGACGAGTGTTTAGATGCATTACAAGTGATTCTCTAATAGTTTTGGCGGATTCTGTGGGAGGCTGCCTGCACACAGTTTCTGTTGAACTATCAAGTTCAACGAGTAGTACTAAAATGTGAGGCAGCGAGGCAGCGAGGCAAAACGACGATTTATGCGAGGCATCGTTTTGCCATTGCCAAAAGTGAGAGGCATAAACAGCGATTCATGCGAGGCATCGTTTTACATCGAAATATGTGCAGAGAACAACGAAAATCCAATGTAAAAGTAATATTACGTACTATCTAATAATTATGCGTGATAGTCATTGTCAAATTTGCTACCTACTTAATTTGGTTTGCTACCACAGTGGATTTATTTTTCTCCGCCTAGGCCTAGGCTATATAGCAGTAACGTCGCTGATCACAGGGGCGGATCAAGGATCTGCTGCATTATTTTTTATTCCCATACAATTGGGGCAGAAATTATAGAGGGCGCTATTTAAGGTCAGTTTAGTGATCGTATTATCGTAGTAGAGAAATAGTTACAGAAAGCAAGACCTAAATTAATAATTACCAAT